CAGTACGGGTGTAGTGGCATAGACTTGTATGTCACTATGAATATATGTAAGATATATTGAGCATTAATTGCATGGTTTAAATTAACACCTATGGCTACAAAAACAGTTGGTAGAATATTTTCATGTCAACACAATGGGTCGTTCCAGAAAAGATCCACACTCCCCCCACGGAGGAAATTTCTGCTGTCCGGATAGGGAGGGGAGACAAAATTGTTTCTGATAATAGTAAATGTATTAGGACATCCGAAGGGGGTAAGGGGGTTAACTTCCAATTTCCTCCGTGGGGGTGGTATGGATGTTTTCTGGAATGACCCAATGACATTTTATTGAATTTTAAACTATTTCAGCCATTTTTGTGCCTATATATATATATACAACTATAACTACAAATTGCATATATTGAAGGGAAATTTACTTCTTAATTTTTTCCAACTATAGTAGGATTATAGGGGATGTTTATATGTAATGCAAGCCAGCCTAGATACTGGCTTACTCTACTAAGGCAAATTTTGCCTATTGTACAACCATTCAGAGCATTCCAGTACTGTTTATAATGAAACAATCCATAATAGTAAATTTAGTGCGCCACAATCCCTAGCAGTATTCCTAGCAATGGCTTATTGCATTTTTAATCCACACACCCCATATGGAGGACATCCATTTTTTGGACCCCCTCCCCTGGAATTCCGCAGATGTTGATGAATTTCCGCCCTACCCCCTGGAATTCCGCGATTATTTACAAATTTCCAGCCTACCCCATGGAATTTCCACAGATTTTTAACCAATTTCTACTCATCCCTTGGAAATTCCACCAATGGTTTTGACCTAGTCTCTGGAATTTCCACATTTTTTGTTTAATAGGTAACCATCCCTTGGAATTTCCATGTTGTTTTTTTAACCTACCCCGTGGAATTTCCACAGATTTTCTTTAAAATTTAGACCCTCCCTTGGAAATTCCGTCCTTTTTTGTTCAATTTTAGGAAGGGGGGCCTGGAAATTCCAGTATCCTCCATAGGGGGTGTGTGGTTTAAAAATGCAATAAGCCAATATCCCTATCCCAGTGGTTCTGCATCATCAGTTCACAATTTCATTTTAAGTCCACAACAGGTGGGTTTCACTTAAAATTATCCCTTTCAAAAGCATTGTCAGTAATACTTTATGAAATACAAAACTTCTATATTTACTTATGTGGCCTAAATAAGAACGCTGTTTCCAAGCAGCATATCTGTTTTGTGTCAAGATATTGTGTGTTAT